CAAAGATAAGAGAAAAATTCTGTCGGGTTTTTCTTCTTCTCTCTCGCGACTCAAAACTCCAAAAAAAAAAAAATCCTTGCGTTTTAGATCCATGTAAGTTTCAGAAACTGTTATAGTAAAAGAGAAAGATGGTAAAATGTGAAGATATGAGGAGTTAAGGGGTGGAAATGTGAAGATATAGAAGTTAAGGGGTGGAAATGAGAAGTGAAGAAGAGTTGAGGACTAATATGATAAAGAGAGAAAATATATATACATACGAACGAGCGTTGTTTAGCGGAGGATTATTCAGATTCATTCAATTCAATTTGTAACAAACTTTCTTTGTTCTTAGCTCTAGAACTCTCTCTGTATACTCATCGTTTTGCTGGGGATTCTTCTCTAGAAGAGATCTAGTAAGTGAGATTTGGTTTGTTGTTTTACGAACAGCGAATCAATTTGGATTCAATTCGATTCGCACAAGTTTCTATAACAGAAACCTATCCTCTCTATATGAAATCTAGTGATTTTGAATTTTTGAGATTTTGTGGTTCTAGGGATTTCGATTTCATATTTTGGGGGTTTTGTGATTTTAGGAATTTCGAATTATGGGTTTTGTGATTCTAGGGATTTCGGATCATGGGTTTTGTTTACTTGACTTCGGATCATGGGTTTTGTGTGCTTAGTTGATTATTGAGGGAAGAAAATTGTTTTCTTTGGTGTGTTTTTAAATTTCGGATCATGTTTTGAGTTTTGATTCGTTTGATTATCTCTTTTGATTCGTTTTAAGCACTTTCTCTTTTGATTCGTTTGATTTACACGTTTTGAATTTGTTCATCTTCTGGTTGCTCCTTTTTCATACTGTAACTGAGAAATTGCTTGATTTACTTACTTGATTGCAGGTGAAAGTGAAGAACAGGTCTTGGAAAGTTGATGTGAGTTGCATACCATTTCCTCTTTCATTGCTTGATTTACTTACTTTGTGAAGCCAGATATGTGATGTGTTTGCTATCAATTTCTCTTGGTTGTCATTCTCGGCGGATTTTCTTCTTTTAAACATGACATCATTGGATACTTGTCAATTTTGTTGTCATTAAGCTAGTAGTTGATTATCTCTTTTGATTCGTTTTAAGCACTTTCTCGAAAAAGAATCTGTCTTTACCTTCGGACTTTGAGTGATCCAGAGCAAAATTTTGTTTTCTCAAATCCTTGACAGTTCTAGTGAGCGTCAAATCTTTTTAAGTTTTAATTTTGGGTTTAGGCTCCTCTTACGATGATTTAGTGGGTTGAAAGTTTCAGATGTGGGTTGTTTGG